ACTGATAATGTTCGATTAAATGAGGGTTGATAAGCTTGAGCAATAGCAATCTTAAATGAAGACCAATCAGGAATATTCATCTTGTTAAAACGAAACCATTTTGCAGCAGCGCCAACTAAATACGATTGTACGGCTATATATTTATTCGACGGTCGTAATTGTACGCTATCAAATATACATTCAGTATCTTGTAACCAGTGTAGAACATCTTCATCACGAGCACCACCAAATGTAGTAAGTTTCATTATTTGTTCTTGGACGAAAATCGGCATGTTTTGTTCGTCCATACTTAATAATAATACTCTTGGTAAGCTGTAATAAGCGTGCTGAAATAATTTATAAGGAGACTGGATTATCACCACTAAGCGTGTACCCAGGTCAAAAAGTCCGGCCTGGAAACGGCCGGTTCCGGGTAGTTCCGTTGATTTTGTGGAAGCAGTATTCCGGTTGGAAAATTTCCGGATTTTTTTTCGGTGATTTCCGATCAATTCCTGCCGGAAAGCACCGGAACTTGGCAGGAATTCGCCGGAAAAGTCCGGCCGTACTTTTGACCGGAATACTGCTTCCATGTTCCAGTGATTTCCCGTGTTTTCCTGCAGGATATGGTGACTTTCCCGCATATTCCCTGGAGTATCCTACGGGATCCGGCGGCCGGAATGTTCGACCTGGGTATGTTTCAAATAAAGTACGAGGAAGCAATAGGATCATAGCATGAGAACTGATAAGAACAATAAGTTGAGGATAACGAGTGTAAAGATTAACATTAATCTTGATATAACACTGAGAGAAAAAAAAAGAATACTGGACAGGACGAATAGAGAAAAAACCGAATCGAGGGGGAAATCTTCTCGTGTTCGACGAATTGTGGTCGAAATGTATCACGAAGGGTCACGGCACCAATTGTTAGATAGTTACGTTTACCCAACTCTTTATTTCTTCAAACCGACTTCAACTAGAATCACTTCAATCACAACTTCTTCCAATCCGACTTCACTTCTTGACCAATAGATAGATATGAGAACAAAGAGAGGTAGTGGTCGCAGATAGCACCACTACCTAACAAAATAGATATCAATCATACACGTATGTTAGTTTCCTCGTCAGAAAAGAAGTTTTTTTTCTCGGCATGTACTTTTCAAGTAAATGATTGTAGAATATATGAAAAAGCATTAGTTTTTAAATATCATCTTTCAAATGTAGTTTGTACCAAGCTAATGATCAGGGGTGATACTTTAACGTTAAACTTAAATTTTAATAAAAGCTTTTTATTTCTGAAGGTAAATAAAGCATTAGAAAACCTTGTTGACACTGTGATTCAACTATGATATGTCCATGTCCACAAAAAGAACTCTATTTTAAACTTAAAACTTAATCTTCCGCCAAAATTATTATGCTAGAAGATTTTTCAGTAATTATACCAAGTTACCAGTAGTGAGCATGTTTTTGTCTTAATTCTAATGTACCAACCCTAATCCACTCTCCCCCGACGACTCCCCGCAAAATAACGAAATCCCTAGGGACTCCCTTGGGATTCTTCTAGGGAGAGTTGACTAGGGAATCCTTATGGAAAGAAAAATTGTTTCTGTTTATAAACGAAAACAAAGTATGAGTTTTTAGATAAAAAGCTTTCTCTTGTGTTTAAGTTTTTATTTGGTAAAGATAAGAAAAAAGTCAATAAAAAAACAATAGTCTAATCTGATAAGTGAAGTATATTTTACATACTTTTCTTCAAGATGAAGTGGACTATGTTTAAAAACATTATGAAAAGGTAGTCGTCTGCCTTTAATCTAAATGGTTTGCGCTACAAAAAATATAGTGCCTGATGAAATGTCATATCATGACCAACGAGCTAAATCTTCACTTAACTGAATTCAATGGCGACTAATTCTTGACTAAAAAACAAATATCTTCAAGTGTTTTATTTTGAATCTGAGTGTACATCATGCACTCAACATTTCGTTCCCTTACGATCGATATTTTCAATAAACAATCAGTAGACGACTGTCTGACTTTCTTGTAGACATAAATACTAATTCAGTAGAGTTGTTTCAAGTATCTTTTTATTTATATAAAACTGGCTTTAAGAATTAAAATAAAATACATTTTATTTTAGTACCGTAAGATTAAATAAGAATCTAAATATATCTGTCGGAGTTGACTCTAAAATCCAGTTGCCTTTTAAAGGTAACTAGTTGACTTTAAAATTTAAGAGTTAACTAGCTCCATCCTAGTTGACTATAAAATTTTAAAGACAACTAGTTGACATTAAAATCAACTAGTTGACTTTAAAATGTATAATCATAAAGTTGTTATTGATATGATAAAGAGTATTTTATTCAATAGATGAGATTGAGGGTGTGGGTATGATTTTGAGTCTTGCCCACGCCCACACCCCACATTCACGCCCGACACCCACACTCCACCCTTTTTCATATGTTTCAGTTGTTATCAAGTACCTCGCTTGTCATTTAGTATCTAACTCATTCAACTAAGCATCTAGCTTTGAGTAGAAAGCCGCCTTCATTATTAAATGAAATGATGGTTTGATAGTAAATAAATAATTCTTTGTTAACTTCAGATCGAAAAGTTTCCATCAGTTAAACAAATTCATTATCGATTAGTGCATAACAACTTAATGATTATACATTTTAAAGTCAACTAACTCCATCCAGTTGATTTTAATGTCAACTAGTTGTCTTTAAAATTGAAGAGTCAACTAGCTCCATCCTAGTTGACTATAAAATTTTAAAAACAACTAGTTTACTCTTCAACTTTAAAGACAACCAGTTGCCTTTAAAAGGCAACTGGATTTTAGAGTCAACTCCGACATATCCACTAAGTGATGCACTGACGCGAAATTGAGAATTATGTTGATCTGTCTACAGCGTAGGCAGCCAAAGGAGAACAGGATACGAAAAGCCCATGTAGAGTAGAAATATAAGGTGTGAGAGCGGTGCGAGAGAAAGAAAAAAACATGCTGCAGTTTGACGGTGAATTTATACTTTCATAAGAATAAACTAAAACAGAAACCTTCACTAATTTTTTACGGTGTCGTAGACGTAAAAACAGCAGAAAGCAAAAAAAAAATAAGACGAAGAAAAAAAAGCAAGCGAAAACGCGAAATATAAGCATTGCCAGTGGTCACATGTATGCAAAGAATGCAGCATGAAAACATGAATAATTTTAGCAACGACTCCTATATCGTTTGGTTGGATAATAGGATCGAAGCCAGTAAAAGTAGTCGAGAAATAAAATCGCTTATACGACAACTGGCAAGAGGCCGTTTATTTACTTCCGCTGATCCCGACGAATGTGTTGATTATATACTCGATGAGCTGGCAACAAAAAAAGTTTGTTTTATTGTTTCCAATGCACTTGGTCCAAATGTTGTGCCTCTTATATACGGACTGCCACAAATACAAAAAATATACGTATTCTGTGGTAACCGTCAAGCAGCCGAATCATGGGTTAAACCACATTTTAAGATCTCTGGTATATTCACTGAGAAAAAAAAATTATTACATCAAATTGGTAATGATATTGATCTCTATGGCAAAGATGATGATTTACCAATGAGTGTCTTTCATCTTACTGAGCGAGAACAAACTTTACAAAAATTAACACAAGAAAGTGCTACTTTTATGTGGTATCGGGCAATATTGATGGTTCTTCGATCGATGGCTAAATATAATGACTCGAAAACTGAAATGATTGTGGAAGCTAAAGCTATCTATCGTATGGATGAAATTGAGCAAAAGAAAATAAAACGGTTTGAAGACACTTATTGTCCAACAGAAGCATTTTGGTGGTACACTTACGATAGTTTTGTCTATCGGTTATTAAACAAAGCTCTACGCACGCAAGAGATTGAAATAATATTTAAATTTCGATTCTTTATCGATGATCTTTGTAACCAAATCGAACAGTCGTATTATCGATATTTAGAAAGACATTCTTCTGATACAAACCATGAATTGACTGTATATCGTGGACAACGTTCAAGTATGACCGACGTCAATCTAATGAAGAATAACGTAAATGAACTTATTTCAATGAACAGCTTCTTAAGCACTACATTAAAAAAAGCAGTAGCATTGCTTTTTGCGGATACGAGTGATCAATCGAATGAATCATCGCCTCTACAATCTGTTCTTTTCATCATTGACATTTCTAATATGTCTAAAGAAATGACATCATTTGCATTCATACAAACTTATTCATGTTGTCCAGATGAAGAAGAAGAAGTTATATTTTCGATTGGTGCCATATTCAAAGTTCAATCAGTAGAGCTACATGAAAAGATGTGGCATGTTCATTTAAAACTAAGTAAAGAACAAAACCAACTGAGCCAACACCTTTTCGATCATATGATCAAACAAATAGGAGTGAAACCCAGTCCATTATCATTCGGTTGGTTTCTTTACCGAATCAATAAATTCAACAATGCTGAACGTTATGCAAAAATGATGCTTGAACAACTCCCGCCAAATGATCGAGGAATTGGCGATGCTTACAATTTACTTGGTCTTATTTACAATGATATCAAACGTCTAGACAAATCTATTGAATACTATGAGAAAGCACTTGAAATTTATTCTAAGTTGAACAGTCGCAATAGTGCCCAAGCTATTGCTACTCGTTGCAGTCTTGGTTTAGCTTATCTAGCATTAGGAGATATTCGAAATGCCGAAGATCAGCAAACTGAAGCTGAAGAGAGTTTAATCAATTCTGCACCATCACAAGATCCATTACTCAAAACTAAACTAGACAGTCTGAAAGCGAGAATTCAATTAAAAAATGGTGATGATAACAGTGCTTTGAATCGGTTGGAGCAGATTCTAGAGAATAAAAGAAGTCGATTACCATCGACTCATCCTTCACTAGGAGGAACTATAAGTGATATCGGTACCGTACATGAAAAATTAAGAAATTACCCAAAAGCACTTGAATACTTTGAACAAGCGTTGAGCATTGTTAAAAAATCGTTACCATCTAATCACTTGGACTTAGTTGATCATTATATTAATGTTGGTGGTACTCTTGATAAGCTTGGTCAATACCAACGTGCTGTAGAAAAGTTTACGTTAGCACTCAATATTCTAGAAGAAGATGAACGAGAAAACGTTGATCGCATTGAGGAGGTAAATGCACGCATCTTGGAAACGACAAAGAAGCTACATCAGTAAAAAATTACTGATAAAAAATGTTTTTCTGAGTTCTTTTCTCCTTGATTTTGATGTATTTCAAATAAATTTCTGGTAATGAAACTTATCAAACCAAAACAACTTTGGTCAGTCATAGTCGTTTAAGGGGGAACCCCCC